CGGCTGCACAACGAAGGGGCGGAGTGTTGCGGGGGATGAACCCGACAGCGAGAGCATGCCAGGTGCATGCGAATGGTGGTGGAGAGGGTGATGGCGGAGAGGCAAGTGAGGCGCAGCGGGGGTGGGGCTGCTTGCGCTATACTTGGTGAAAGCGGGCTAGGAGAGATCGTAGTAGGAAGGAATGGACGAACCCGGACGCGGGGGCACGCCGGGTGCATATGAAGGGAAGCAATGCGCAGTGAACGAAGAAAGCGGGTAGAAACAGGCGAACGCGCGGAGTTGCAGTGGAGGACGGATCAGAGCAGGATTCGGGGTTGGATGCGTGCAAGGCAAGAGAGGCAGTCGGGAGGAGGTGAGAAGGGGGCTGAATCCAGGCGTGTTTTTGCGCCGGATCCATTCGAAGAAAAGGCGGTCATGGCGGAAGCTTAATATGCTCGTTTCTTAACGGAAACGAGCGGGGAAAGATGCTGGGTAGGGGTTTAGAGACTGGAGGAACAAGTTTACGGGGTTAGTTTTAGTGTTGGATTAGCGTAGAGGGAGGTTAGTAAAGAAAAGCCTGCGCAGTGGCTATGGCGAAGCAACGAGAGAGAGCGAAGAGCTTGCTCGTCTTAGGATGAGAACGAACCGGGGGGGGGAGGAGGCGTTTTGGAGGGTCCGGAGGGGATTTTTGAGTCCCGCGACTACGATGGCGAAGGCGGATTTGAAGAAGGGGCAAGGGTCTCAATGAAACGGTGTGCAGAGGCAGCGGGAGAGGAGGTGGCGATGTATCCTTCTGTATTCTAGCGGAACATTCATTCAGCGCTGCTCACCCTATCGGTTAAGTAGCCTGTGTACAGCGGTAGAGTTCGGGGACTTACCTGGTTCCCGGTATGTTGCCGTCGCATTCACGGAGAGGAGGAGGCGAGCGGTTTCCCATTGCGAGTACTACAGTGTGAACCTTCCGGGGTTCAGGCGGTAGGTTCATTCGCCTCTGCTCGTTCTGTCGGTCAGCAACAGATAACAGTCACAGGGTCTGCAACTCGCCTGTGGTGGCAGCCAATGCCTTTCGCTGCCACAACTGGACATGGGTGGCCGCACGGACGTGACCAGGGCGGCAGAAGGAGAAGGGGAGGGGTATGTACCAAAGCCTGAGGCCTTACCTGTTTGGGCATGCGTCGGTTGCCCCGTCGGTGACAGTGGCAATAGTCGAGTTGGCGCATGATTACAGGCTCTGCGGCATTTGCAAGGGATTGTGGTGTGTATTGCAAGTGCGAGCTGCAGCAGCTGCTGTCGGGGCTATGTAGTTGCGGGAAGGACTGGATGGAGTGTTATACGGCCGTTATGATGCCGCATTTGCTACACCACCGGTGTTTGTTGCGGACTGCAGCAAGCGGCTGCAGTTGGGTACCTGGACTGTCTGCAACCTGTGCGAGAGGTATGAGTATACGCACTGGTTGGAGTTGACCCCGTGTAGTGTATGGACTCTTGTCTGACTTTTGATGTGATTGCAGGTATGTTCAAAGACTTGGGGCTTTGGTTGGGCTGCCTTGCGGTCGCATATATATGTATGGCTAGGAGGAGACGCACTATGACTGTGAGAAGTGATCGTTACATAACTATTCCCCTTGTGCATATCTATATCTATATATATATATATGTGTGTGTCATTGCATGTGTACCTACGTGTGGAGCCAGCGTGGCTTGAAGTGCCCGCGTACTAAGGGTCAGTCGAAGGTTGGGGTGAATAGAAGGGGGCGGGGATATCCCTCGCCAATTTTTGTTTTCTTCTCCTTGTTGCAATTCATCATGGCGGAACGATAAAGTTCCGGGCGAAAGGGTCAGCGTGTCGCTGGTGATGCGCCGGACGACTCACCACCGCTCGAAACTCCCTCCTGCTCTAGGGGCCGTCTTGCCCCGCACCCGTGGGGACACCTCAGGGTGCAGAAGACGGAAAGACCCTCAGGCTGGCTTTGCGCGCGCAAAAGGGTTACCCCCATTGGCTCGCGCTTCAGCCAACGCCTGATCGTCGAAAGGGGACCCCTTGGCTCAGAGTAAGCCATTTGGGTGTGGGCATTACGCAATGCGCCGTCATTGCGGTTACTCACGTAGAACTGCATAGCGAGATAGTATGTGTAAGTCCAGTGCCCTCGCGATCTTATACTAAGGTTCGCGCGCGGTACTCGTCGCATCTCGCACTAAAAGAGTTATGGGTCGGGCGGCGAGATCACGAGCGCGACATGACCAGTAAACTTGAGGTCTTGGTAACGTGAAGCGGCACGTGGGTGGAGGACTAGCCCCGGTCAGCCTTTGGGAGTCCATGTACGGGCCTCATTATCCCGGACGCCGGGTAGCCTATGGGTAGGATACCGGACCTCCTCCGCGCGCGCGTCGTTTGGGCTTATCCACCCCCTTTCCATTTTTTAGGGCCATCAACGAATGGGGGTTGGAGTGAGTCTCCATTTTACGTTTTCATGGTTGGACGTTATAGTCCGTGGCGGCCGTCAAAGTCAAACCCCTTGATGTTCGACCACCACGACAGCTTAACAATGTCTACTCAACCCCTCTGCACAGGGTGCAGAAGAGGGTGTGATCTCCAACCGCGCACGGCGGTTGTCCAACGTCGCGAGATTAACCCTTAAGACGTGTGTCAGCCGACACTTGAGTGTCGAATGCGACCCTCGAAATTAATGAGGGCCGCACGATTATGGGCACGACATAGTACGTCATCATTGGGACTGCTTGCGTACGTTTGCATTGCGAGTCGATAGGAGTTAGCCCTGCGCCCGCACGGTTTTATACTAAGTCTCGCGCCCGACGCCTTCCCGATTTCCGCATTGGAAAGTTATGGGTTGGCTACCGAGGGACTGTGAGCTTTGTCGCGATTGTTCATGTTGTGTCGTTTATGCAATGTGTGTGCGCGCGTATGTTTTGTTTTTGTGTTCGTAGAGTGGTGTGCGCGTGGTGTGTGGGATGCGTCCTAGTCGACCGACGTCGAGCCGCACTTGGGACTTCAGCCTCCCAAGATGTTGGCCCGCGTGCGGGTCCGACAGGCGTATTACCGCGCGTGCCCCCTATGCTACAGCGAACGAGAAACGCCCTCGGCTGGTCCACCTCTGCGATTGCAGCCGAGTAGCTTTCATACTGTGGACTGGTGGCTCGGCGGGGATATGCCCACCGAAGGGAGGTGACAGCTCCCGTAAGGTGGAGGTAAGTCGTGCCTTGCGTAGGCCCTATCCTGTCGTAGGGGCTCGCGAGAGGTATGGCTGGCGCACTCGTCCGGAGCGGCCTAAGGAAGCTCCATTTGTGTGTTCGCGACGAGGTAGGTCCAACTCCTGCGTGACGCGGCCGAGAGTGTCCCGTGCCGCCACGTGCGGTGCCGGACCGAAGCGTTCGACAGGTGGCGCTGTTGCCGGGGATGACGGAAGCCTACCGTTGTCCTTGGTGGAACGACATCCGGGTATGAGAATGAGAGAGAACTAGGCTCGTGAGCAAATAAGAGAAGCGCTATGAGATGAATCGTATAGTAGTCTATATGGCTGTGTGGGTATGAATGTTGATCTGATTGGTGGTTTGGTTGATGGCATGAGCGAGGCGAGTATGTGAGTGAATTCTGTGATGAGAATGGGTCTTACTTAGGTGAACCCAATGGAGGTAGGAAGTAGAGAGAGAAATGCCTGCCAGGTCCGGAGCGTCGGGTGCTTAGGTGGTCGGTCCGGTAGGATCATGAAGGAATGGACTGCTGAGTGGAACCTTTCGTCCTATCGCTTCTTATAACAGGGGGATTGAAGACGAAGGCGGTTAATCAAAATGCATGAGGAGATGGCGGATGGAGGGAGGAAGCTTGTAACGCTCGACGACCTCATCGATGCCCTGGATAAGCGCGAGAGGGCGTCGAGCAATGTCCCGTAGGTTGATACTTTCCACTTCAAGGGTGAACGGGTGTCTGACAGGTTGGACTTGACGGAGCACGCACTGGTGGGGCTGTCGGACGAGGTCAAGCTCTAGCGAGTCCTAAGATATGTCCTTCATAGCCACCATCAGGAAGTGGGCAAGGTCGTGGATGCCGCCAATGGTAGTTGGGTGAGGTTCAGGGACATGATGCAGAGAAAGTACAAGTTGGGGGATGGGTTGCTGACCATGGCAGATTTGGAAGCCATGACAAGGATGACTTCTCCACGATTGGGGCGTTTGTGCACGAGTTTAAAAGGAAGGCACGAAAGGTGCACGGGATCTCCGAAGAAACCCAGTGTGCCATATTTTTGGGTCTGCTTACTGGCTCGGAGGCCTTGGAGCTGACGGGTCACGGAGGGGGAAATGAGAAACTCACCTGGGCCACCATCGACAAAGGGGTGGAAGAGGGGAGCCTGGACCAGGTGGAGCAGCACCAGGTGCGGCTGCAAAGGCGCAAGAGAAAGGAAAGGGATGCCACCGCGTCCGGGATCCCAGGGGTGAAGAGGATCGCCACGGACGTATTGGCAGCGCTGGGGTATGATAATGAGGCGGAAGTGCAAAAGAGGGGAGTGACCGTAGCCCAAGGCCGGGCGTCGGGGGCAGTGGAAGAGCAGGCTAGGCGCGAGGACTATGGCGGAGAAGAGACGGGCTCCCAGATCCTAACCAAGGCCCGGAGAAAGCAGCGGAATTTACAAGTGGGGGTCAAAGATCCGGAAAAGGGCAGGTCCCGCAAGCGACTGCTGCGTCGCCACCTGCTGCCACGACAACGTCAGCGACGGCCGGGCCGTCATGTATGGGGCCGCCGCCGGCTTGTGGGCATTGGGTGCCGCACTGTCAGCCTACATCCCGGCCCAATTGTAATCACTGCACCTCGTGCGGGGGTAGTCAAACCCAGCCCGGGATAATGGTCCCTTATGCGGGCCTAGCGGCAAGTATGGGGCCCCTGAACTACGCTGCGGCCCAGGGTCAGTTTGTGGCTCAACCACCTCCCTCCCAACAGGCCTTGCAGGTCAGCGTGGCCGAGGGAGGAAACCAAGGACAAGGCGGACAAGGCAATGCAAGCCGAGGTCAAGGGGGTCGAGGAGGTGGCGGCCGAGGCCGAGGAGGAAATGGTGGGGGTCGCGCGGGTGGTTGGAATGGTCAGGGGGGTCAGAACCCAAGTGGCCGAGGTGGCCAAGAGGGGGGCCAAGGGTATGGGAGGCCCCGCTTTGATTGGGGAAACGCCACCTGCTGGCATTGTAGCGAGGTGGGCCACACTATACGGTTCTGCCAACGGTGGCGAGATGATGAGTTGGCAGGTTTAATTTCCTCTTGTATGGACGGGGATATATATGATAAGTGGGGAGAGCATATCGACCCTAGGACCCCGGGAGGAATCAGGCAAGAAGCTCTTAGGCTAGCGGCGGCAGGGCCATCGGCAACCCCGACCATGTTCAGGATGTGGCAGGCGAAAGGAAAGTTGGTCATAAAAGTTGAGGAAATTGTGGGAGATAGCGAGAAAGGCACTCAGCGACTAAAGCCAGGGACTATAAGAGAGAAGCCAATAGTCGTCGAATCGGATGACGAGGGGCAGGAAGCCGATGGAGAGCCGGCCACACTCCTCCTGGGAAGGATGGAAGATCTACTGGAAAGGGTGGGGAGATTCCGGCGGAAGCTGCAAGCCTTGTGTGAAGAAGCCCGAGAGTGGGAGGCCAACCTGCCTGAGGTCTTCCTTTATGACTCCGGGCCAGAGCCTTCGCCAGGACAACAAGGGTGCCCAAGAGTGGCGACTGTAGGGACGGGCCCTAGGTCGGGTAGGACCTATAGACCCCCCACGTCGCATGGGAGGGTGTCGCAGGCGGCTCGGACCAGGAGCCAAAATAAGGCTGGGCCTAGTCAAGAGCCCAGTCAGGCACCCCCTCGAAAGGAGCCGGAGCCTGGACGTAGGAAGGAGGTGGTGGAGTTTTCGGAGGAAGAAGAGGATGACGATGAAGAGGATGAGAGGCTCCGACAAGAGGAGGATCAGCGGGCGGAGCTGAGGGCCAAAAAGAGAGGGGCCCAGGAGGAGGCAGAGCCAAGCCTGCTCGACAGTGTGCCTAAGAGGAATAAGTACGCGGTCCGGATGGAGGAAGGCTTTGATGTGGAGCGGATGGTGGACAAACTCCTGGAAGGCCATAATAACTTGATGAACCTAAAGGACATCCTGGCTTCGGCGCCAAGGCTCCGTGGTGAGTTGAAGGGACGATTGTCGTGAAGGCTGGTGCCAAATGTCCATCTGAGTACAGTCCTGCCTAGAGAGGTGGAGTGGACTGAGGCAGGGAGAAGGATGGATTGGAAATGTGTGGCGTGCGGGCAGGTGGATTTGGTGATAAGCAACTAGAAGTGTACTGGGATGGTGGACACGGGCGCAGAGATGAACATCATCAGGGAGAAGGAAGCGGTGATGATAGACATAGAGATCGACCGCTCGGACCATGGCATGCTGCATAGCGCCAACTGCAAGGCCGCTTTTTGCGGCACGACGTCTAATGTGATTATAGAGATTGGGAAGGTGCGAGCCAGGACGTGCTTTTTCGTCATGCCCGATGTCGATCATCCCATCCTTCTGGGAAGGTCGTTCCTGTGCAGGACGGAAATGTTGATCTTCAACAAGCACGACGGAACAATGATCCTGCTCCTGTGCGACCCGGCGTGTGGGAATTATGTAGTTATCTCCTGCCGGAACAGCCGGGGAGCGGGAGGAATAGGCCCAATCTAGGCTCATTCACCTTCGAGGAGTCAGAGAACGAGCGGAGACGGCTTTGGGAAGTGCCCGAGGAGGAAGATAGGGTTGAGGTGCTGACATTGAGCCTCACGGATGTGAATAAGGCCATGGAGGTGGTATCGGCTCACAACATGGCGGATCCGGAGGCCATTAAGGCATTGAGGGAACAGGTTTTGGAGAACCCTCAGATGGGGGAGGTGGAGTTAGTGTATCGGCTTCCGGGAGGGAGGGGAGGCCGTGTGATGGCCCAGGCCCGAGCGACAAGTGGGCCTTTTTTAGGGGAGGGCTTAAGCAGGGTTCCCAAAGGCGGTACAAGACCATAGATAAGAAGTGCCCAGTTCCCGTGCTCGTCACAGAGGACGAGAAAGCCTATTACGAGCGGGAGCGAGGGTTGATACGGCGTATGCGGGAGCACGCATTGGACGGGCCGTGCCGTATCAACGACGAAAATGAGGGGAAAGTGATAATCGGGGAGCCTGACTTTCTGTCGCCCCATGAGAGAGCCTTGATGGTGGGGCTGATGAAGAAAAGGCACCGCGCGTATGCATTCAACGACGACGAGCGTGGGAGGCTGGATGTGGACAAGATCCCGATGATCAGGATCCACACGGTCCCACATGAGCCATGGAATCTAAGGGGTGCGCGGTACCCCAATCCGGATGAGGAAAAGATGGTGGTGGACTACCTAGACGGCAAGATGCGGACGCACGTGGCCGATTATTTCAGTGGGCCGTACGCGTCGCCTTGGTTTTGTTTTATTAAACCAAATAGGACGCTAAGGTGGGTGCAGGACTTGCAATGGCTAAATGCGGTGACAGTGCGGGACGCGGGAGGATTGCCGAACGCGGACGCATTGTCAGAATCGTGCGCAGGGAGACCTATAATCTCGCTTATAGACCTCTACTCGGGGTATGACCAATTCCCCTTATACCCGCCAGACAGGCCCGTAACGGCAATGCACACTCCTAGAGGGCTGATTCATATGAATGTGGCGCCTCAAGGTTTGATGAATGCAGTGGCGATGGTGCAAAGGCATATGATCAGAGCCATGCAGACGGTCAGCCCACATATCACTCAACCCTATATCGATAACCTGGCGGTCAAAGGTCCAAAGGAGAACGAGGAAGACGAAGTGATGCCCGGTGTGCGACACTTTGTCTGGAAGCATGTCCAAGACATCGATCAGGTTCTGAGGTTATTGGAGGAACATAACCTGACGGTGAGCGGTCCCAAGTCGAAACATTGTATGAGGGAGACCACGATTCTAGGTTTTTTCTGTAATGAGAGTGGGCGAAGGCCTGATGTAAGGAAGACAGACAAGATTCTTGAGTGGCCGGTGCCCTTCCGCTCGATAACAGATGTGAAAAGCTTCCTAGGGACGTCCGGATTCCGAAGGAGCTTCGTGAAGGACTTTGCCACGAAGACAGAGCATTTAAGGAAGTTGGTGCGCCAGGATCAAGAATGGGTCTGGGGCGAAGACCAGGAAGAGGCGGTCGGTAGGATGAAGGGAGAGTTTAAGGAAGGAGGCTTGGTATTGGGAGCGCCAAATTATGAGGTCACGGAGGAAAGACCATTCGTCATTGAGACGGACGCTGGGCCAAGTGCTTTGGGAGGGGTCCTGATTCAGGCGGATACTGAGGGGAAGGAGAGGCCACTAAGATTCGAAAGTCGTTCCCTCAATACAACTGAGAGGAACTACTCTCAGTTCAAGAAGGAGACGCTAGCGGTACTTCATTGCCTAAGGACCTTCCGGAACTATGTTTTTGGCAGGAGGCTCATCTTGAGAGTGGACCCTCCTGCACTGGCATGTTCCCTGAAGAATTATACTCCATCTGACCCAACCGTCGCAAGATGGTTGACTTACATTTGGATGTTTAATTTCGAGCTGGAAAGGATCCCAGGGAACAAGAACAGACCAAATGGGTTAAGCCGCATCAACTGGGACGGATCGGACGAGGAATCGATAGAAGACATGCCGCCAGTTGATGGGTTTTTGGATCAAGAGGAGGACGTCCGCCTGCATATAAAGGAGTGGTCCCTGCGAGTGCCCAGTTGCGTAAGTCACCCCATATGGCTGGCACCAAAGGGGTACAAACAGAAGGAAGAGTTAGTCCTCAAACCCTTTCAGGAAGAGGATCCGTGGGGAAGTAAGGATGTTGGTTGGATGATGAAGTTGGCGTTGGCAGGTACGCACAGTCTGGTGGAGGAAGTGAGGACAATAGAGGAAGGCCCCACTCAGGTGGAGGAGTATGTGCAGCTAATGGGAGGGATGTACCTGCTCACCAATACGCTCCTGCAAGGAGACTTCGACCGGAAAGGCTTGTTCAGTCACGAGGAGAATGAGATTCTGGTTCCTGAAAGCCGAGACAACGAATTCGAGGAAGGAGAAATCAAGGAGGCGTTTTGGGCGGAGGAGTACGATGGGATCTACCGGGAATTGGGGTTGTTCCTATCATTTGAGATGAGGGATAGAGATGCAAGTGCTAAGACACAGAAGATGAGGCACCTCCATGTGGTAAGAGACGACCACTTGTTTATAAAGCGGCAGGTCGGGAACCCCAGGAGGATCGTATGTGGGAGAAACCGGCAAATTGATATCATAGCGGCCCTACACGATGGTATAGCAGAGGGGCACAGCGGGGTAAGTGCCACATGCGTGAAGATAAGCAAGCTCTACCATTGGGACTGGATACTGACGATGGTTATCAAATACTGCCAGTCCTGTATGCCTTGTCAAGAGAGTTCAGTGCAAAGGCCTGGAGAACCCCTACACCCAAGGTTAGAAAAGGAAGTAAGTGCGGTCGTACACCTGGACCTGTTATTCATGCCAGCAGGGGAGAATGGGTGTAACTACATCTTCGATGCACGGGATAACCTTACTGGGTTTGTGGACGGACGAGCTATCTGGACAAAGACTGACCCGGTTTTGGCAAACTGCATCGAGGAGTATTTCCTGCGATACCCTTTTGTCAGGGAGTTCGTGATGGATCGAGGATCAGAGTTTACCTGCAATGAGGTGAGGAAGTTGCTTGCAGAATATGGCGTAGTGGCCAACTATACTACGGCCGCACACCCTCAAGCGAACGCTCCTACGGAGAGGGGGCACAGTACCATCACGAATCTCCTGGCTAAGTGGACAGAGGGCAAACCTGGTCAGTGGCCGAAGTTCCTACGGGCAGCTTTCTTCGTGGAGAATGTTACTGTAAAGAGGACTACCAAGTATGCGCCGGCCACACTATGGTACGGGAGGCATGCCACCTTTCCCATAAAAAGTTTTATGAAGACATGGAGGCGCGAGGACTTGGAGGTAGACCTGTCTTTCGAAGAACTGCTCGATATTCGGGCGCGGCAAGTGGGGGCGGCCGAAGAAAGATTGCGAGAGGCCGCTGGTCAGGTGGAAAGGAGTCGCATGGAAGATAAGATGAGGTGGGACCAGATGGCACGAGTAAGAGAGGAGCCATTGGCTGTAGGGGATGTCGTATTATTATACCACTCCTCTCTGGAAAAGCAATGGTCGAGGAAGCTTGATAAGAGACGGTTGGGCCCCTATAGAATATTGCGATGCGGCGAATTTGGGGCCTATCAGATCGAGGAGCTGGACGAGACAGGCTGGCAGGATTGGGTATCAGGGACCAGGCTGAAGAAGTTCATGGCCAGGGAATAGGTAAAAAATTCTACCTTTCTCAGAGTAGGCTGGTCCTTAAGGTATCGTATGTTATGGTCAGGACAGGTGAGGGAGTAGGAAACGGCATGTGTGTTGTCATAAAAACTTGATGAACCGAGGGTTAACCTTGTTGTGTGCCTGCTCGCTTTCTCTCGCCTGTTGTGCAGGTCTTACTTTTCGAAGACAGCCATGCAGAGGGGCGGGAGGGGCGCGCGGCCACAACAGAGGCCTCAGGGAGCATCAGGAGAGGATGACTGGCGCAAACCGGTTGGGAGGGAGTCTACGCCTATTTTCGACGACGGTAACATAAAGCTTTTTCTGGATTCCTACCAGGCACATGCGACACGGGAGGCTGATCTACCTTGGAAAGGATACGGCACCTGAGGGGAGTTGGGCGCTTCGAGGAGCCTATTGCGCACATTCGAGAGGAGGCGTTAACATGGCAGGATGTTGAGGCGAGGATGCGGATGCTGAGGGCTTCGCCGATGGGACCAGATGGATTGCCTATTCGATTGGAGGAAGGCAATGCGGGGGAGTTCATTCCGGCCTATGAGCAGTATATGCATGACCAGCGGACTGGCAGGAGGAGTGGATGCAGATGCTGCCCCTCTGGACACGGAGGGCGGAGAGGTCGTTGGCAAGGCAGATCCGGGACAGGGCACACGACTGGGAGGACTGCCAGGCCCAGTTGAGACAGACATTTCGACAACAGGAGCCCGAGAGACCAGAGCCCAGGGTAGAGAGACGACAAAGGAGTAAGAGGCCACGGAGCCAGAGGCGAGACGGACCACTACGACCAGAGGGGGCCGAAAGGCCTTGGCACAGCGAGAGGGGCCAGCGGAGGCCGCCCATGCGGTGGAGCTAGTTCAGGCCGTGGGGCCAGCTCGGGCGGCGGAGCTACCCCCTACCTATGGACTCGAGCAGGTGGAGTTTCGCCGAATCACGGACAGTGATCTACGGGGCCCGTCGCCGACGTTACCAGAGGGGGGAGAGGCGGTGCCGTTGAGGACGCCGCTCGACAGATTGGAGGCTCATCTCGATGCGTCCCAGTGGGGGGCGTCACAGCTGGGAGCAAACCAGAGAGGACCGGAATGGTATGAGCCTGTAGAGGATGAGCCAGAGGAGGAGCCACCTGAGTCGGGGCCTGAGGCGGGGTCTCGCGAACCCAAGGAGCCGCAGACTGAGGGGGTTTTCACTGTTGGGGATGATACCCCTCCTCCTACTCCGATTACTGAACAGGCGCGGCAGTATTGGCATGAAGAAATTCCTAAGTCGGACGGTGAGGAGATGTTGGGGCCCCCACCGGAAGCTACTACGCCACCTCCGACGCAGGCGGAGCCAGAGGGGGGCGAAAAGGCGAGGACACCTACTACTGTGGCGCCGCAACTAACTGAGTCTACAGGTGCACGCATGGATTTGGAGGTGCCGACATCTGGGGAGCCTTGGCCAGGGCCGCCACCCGCAGAGGAGGGGACAAGTGAGAGAGATCCACTGCGAGAGGGTCACGAGGCGAGGACAGGGAAGCCACCGGGAGAGACGAAAGAAGAGAAACGCGCGAGGGTGCAGGTACGCCTCGAAGAGCTATACCAGGAAAAGCTTAGGATGGAGGCCGCAGGAGAAGCGCCAAAGCCGCCAATTGACCCTCCGACGAGCGAGCAGAGGATTAGTGAGGCTTGGGCCAGCTATGAGAGCGAGAGGGATGCGGCTCGCCTGAGGTCGCGAGAGGTAGGACAGGGGCGTGCAGGATTGGACGAGGCACGAAAGATAGAGGACTTGGGATTTTCAGCCACCAGGATGGAGATTGAGCGTATAGATAGGAGGATAGGTGAGGTGGAGGTCTCGTCCTTCCAACGGTACTCCATGCTCAGCGATGAGTTGGCGGCCTTGAGGTTAGAGGTGGGACAGTTGTCCACCCAACTGGTAGAAGAGAGGGTCGAGAATCAAGCATGGAGGTCCCGTATGGAAGTTAAGGAAGCAAAATGGGAGAAGAGGCTCCAGGACATGGCGGCGATAGTGGAGAGGCTCTCGGTCACTAAGGTGGTCGACTGGACGGAGCAAAGCCGGTATGGTATCCAGGGGGAGGAGGTACAGGGGCTCTTTGGCCGGGAAGGGACGACAGAGCCACCTCAGCAAGGAGGTAAAGGGAAGGTATTCCTGGACCCAATAGAGGCGGCAGCACGGCGGGAAGCCGAGGAGGGGAGGTTCAACTTCAGGATTCCTACGGAGTTGGCCTCGCAACAGGCCACCCCTATGACGATTGAGGTCCTTGAGGGCGGCGCAGGGACCCCAACCTCCAGCGGAGGAAGGGGCCCCACAGAGGAGTCCCCTACGATCCTTTTGGAGGTGCAGGAGGGAGCCCTTACGGGAGCAACAGCATCCACTGAGCCGGAGGCAATGGGGGGAGAGGCGTCTCGACTGGATGAGTTAGTGGCAGCTATGGAATTGGACATGCCGTTAGGGGAGCCTCAGAGACAGAAGACCCCAGAGCGTGTACCAGAGATAGGGGAGCTAAGGACGCAGCTAGGCTCTTGGGCTACTGGAGCTGACTCAGGAGAGCACATCTCAGATCAGCAGCAGGAAGTTATGAGCGAGCCAGCGACTGCCGTGACTCCCCAGCCTTCTGACCTGCATAGGGACGAGGGGGCGACTACGATGGGAGGAGTCCGCGAGGGTAGGCCACTGAGATTGGACACTTCGGCGTACTGACATGAGGGAGGTGAGATGGTAGCAGGGTCGAGTATCCAGATGATGGAGGCGGGGCCGACAGAGTCATGGAGTATGCCCCAGAGCCATGAGATGAGCAGGGAAACTTGCAAGACGCCGCCGTTACCTGGGTCCCAGAAGAAGAAGAGGAGGTGTCGAGGGAGATCAAACGATCAGTGCTTCTTCTGCATGGACGACGTACATAGAGCTCTTGAATGCCCGAAGTTCCTTAAGGACAAGGCGGTTGGGAGAATAACAGAGAGTCGTGGGAGAATGTACGACAGGCAGGGGCGAGTGGTAGAGCGGGCTCCGGATGGGGGTAGGGCACAGTTATATAGACAGAACCAGGAGGCTATGAATGAGTAGGGACTGGTCCGTCTATATGACAGTAGGATTAGAGCTCCTCTGTACGCAGAGGCCATGATAGGGGTGTACATACTCTGAGTTAGTCAGGCGAGTCTCGTCTAGTTGTATATACGTAGGTGGCGGTGTATGATTGGCTTGAGTTTTATGGGTGATACGGTCTAGGGGATAAGACTTAGGTGTATGATATCTACGACATACGTGACTTGCATTTTCAGTTGTGTGATTCAGATACTCTTACTTGTATCTTTGAATAGGTTTTGAGAGTCCATGACACTTGGGTTGCGAGTTTATCCTGCGGAGTGAGACAGTGGAATGAGTATTTGAGTGTTTTCGGGGAAGGCATTTTTTTTCCTAAATACACCCTACGAGTTGTGTGTTGAGGGTTTGAGTTGAGTGTCGTATTGAGACTTGAGGGAGATATTTTGCTCCCGAGTATATCTTTGGTTCCAGACTCTGTGAGACTTATTCTTGTGACGATCACGATCACTCTCACACGTGTGGCTTTATCCCAATGAATGAGGGCTTTGTGTGAGAGATGTGTGGGATACATCTCATGTATGTGTATTGTGTGATTGTGATTGCCGTCTACTCTTTGGTATACTCGTGCGGCCTGCCCATGGGCGGGTGAAATGACTGAGTATAGGGGGAGGTAGCGAGGCTGTTTTGTGACAGATGTGTAAAGGCCCTAAGGGGTCTTGCGCGCCTATAAGACTCGAATGCTTACCATGCTGAATGTTTATGGCTAACTTATGGAAAGGATCCATAAGTTGGTCCCCCAGTTTGAGTTGTTTTGCGTATGAGTTGACAAAGAGGACCCTTAAATAGGCCCTTAGTGAGTTGCTCTATGGTGGAAACCCCCTTCAGATTATGGAGGGTGGGAATGCTGGTTATTGACGGTTATACAACCGAGGTCACGTGATAGTCTATCCTATGAGAAGAGAGGGATGGCTGGGAGACCCATTACGAAAGACCCCCTTCATGTGAAAAAAGGGTAATAGATTTAATGACATGGTAAGCAATGTGTGGGTGATAAAGTCTGACGAAAGGAACCAGGGTTACGAGTTGAAACCATTGGTGGAACCGAGAAGGTCGCAAGTCAGTGCATAAAGATGTCGTGGGATGTGTGGTCTGCTGTCTCTGATAAAGTAAGTAGGCCACGGCCTCGTGTGAGCCTAGCGGTGAAATTGTTTGTGATTGTGAGAAGGGGCCTTGCCCTCTATGTTGTCCCATAGGGGGCTGGTAAATACCCTTAAAAGTAGGGCAGATCCCTGCGTTGTCCCGCAGTGGCCCTGTGAGTTTGTTTTGCGACGCACCGCCTAGACACTTGTGCTAATCCTAAGGCATATTAGGGAATAGTAAGCTAAACGGTAAAGGTTAGCACCTCTAGGGCGCAACCCCTATTGGATGGCTGCAAGCTAGCACAACCTGGCTGCGCGCCCACGTCTACCAGCAGAGTGAGAGTTCAAGAGGTTATGCACGCCCCAAGGAAATTACTCTAGTGGAATGGCGGGGGATACGAGTTGAGTCGTTTGGACGCCCTGATTGAATGCCTATCAGGAGAAAACATATCGTTGCTTAACCAACGAAGGGACTGCCGCTAAGATAACAATGCGGTAGGCCGTAGATCTGGCTCGATCAACCAGACTATGGTGGGCCAGGATGGAGACCTAGCGTTTCTGTACTAGACTGCACAAAGAGCTGAGAGGAGATTTATGTAAATATATATATGTTTGATTGTGAGGATTTTCGCGAGGGAGGCGAGAGTGCCTTCTGACGTCTCGTCTAAGGCCCACGTCCCGTATGACTCTGCTTGCGAGAGAGAGTCTAACTGGGACATCCAACGATAAGCCGACGTTTGTCTAGGACGAAAGGGGAAAGACGGTTTGAGGTGGCCTTTGGAACTTATGATGTAGTATTGATGCGTAATACACCTGCGTCCTAGCGTCAGGACACTGGAAACCCAGACAGCATATAGTTATGTCGGCATGGAGTGTTGGAGGCATCAACCCTGAGTCTGTCGGCTAATCGGATTGGTTCCATTCTCATCAGCATTTGGAGTGTGGATGAATTTACAGCTTCTGACTTGGCGTACCGACGGGGACGTCGCTTAATATAGTCCGGTAGGCTGTCGGCGCTAATACCCTTACAAGGGTATCCGCCCTGTTTTTTGCAGATGACAGGGAACAATGAGTTTGGTCAAAATAAGTCGTGCGAGGCACGATCTCGTCCGGGACCCGCCCTGGTTAAGTTAGAGGGTATGTGGGCGGGCAATTTTAAGGCGCGCGTGTGATTTTTCTGATTGAGACCGTGCTATGGCTTGGATGAGGAGTAAGAGCTCGTTCCTGGGTTGGCATGCGCGACCGTCGGTAGGACTGGCGCACGGGGTGGCGTGCGGGGCGGCCACGACGCGGTCTAAGTAGGCTGGGGCGGGGGCCGGGTGTTGGCGCGCCGGCCTCGGTAGGAAGGGAAAGGCCTAGGCTATTGTTTCCAAGGCTAGGCACGGCGCGACACCACTTTATATTGGATTTCGCGCCTAGTTGTTCCAAGCTGGGGCATAGCCGTATAGGTTACGGGGTCAGGTTACTGCCACAGAGGTTCGGGGATCGAGGCCAGTGTGCGTTACGGAGCAGCAGCGGAGCGTTACGGAGGAAAATTGAGGGGAGTTGGAGGCCTGGCGGGGCTACCTCCCCTCGGTTTGATAGGCGCGGACCTAGTTCACAGGACCAGCGGGGCTCTAACAACCCCGCACCCTGCTTAGGGGTTCTTAATCATGATGCTTTATTTTTTCATCCTTATTTTTTATTTTTTATTTTTTTATTTTTTGTGATTATCCGCGGCCCCGTTTGGTCTGGGGCGGGGTACCGCGGCTGATCGTGCAAAGTGAGGGACCGCGGGTGGGGCGCCGATGAGGCCAGATCCTTCGGGACGTCTGTTAAAAGGAGGAGTGGGC